GAACATACCTTTTGCAGATTATTTTCATTTTACATGCTGTTGAAGCATAGCCTCAAAAGAAAAGAAATTATGATATACTGGTAGTTGTACACTTTTTAATTGCTGAAGAAGTCCAAAGAAAGATCTCAGAGGTTAACTGATTCCCAATGCTAACTATAGTAAGAAGAGCCTGGCAATGTGTGTATGCACATGGTCTGAACTACCCTTCCGTGGATTTCAATCAAACTACACTTCCTTAGCTGATATTCAAGGGAAGAAGCATTGGCCTTGGCTACTTTGATAGTGAACCATCTGGAAATTCAAGGTTGTTGACCAGATTAGGAAAGAAACACAAAAAATCACCAGGAGATAGTAATGGTGAATTATTTCTGTAATATGGTCAAGGAAATAGATGAGTAAAGTCACTAAGAGTCAACTCAATTCCAGGGCATTAGTAACTTTACCATTTACAACTTTAGGGTTAATAAGGCCATGCAGATTCTGGAAGTTGTCATTCAAACATTCAACCAAGTGCCTTGTTGGAAAAGTCTAGTATAAATCATAGTCTCAAATGTTCAGGAGAAATAAAATCTATATTAAGTATGTCATGCAATATTCCTACTATGAATGTGCATTCTTTTTCTTTGTATTTTACAACCTTGTTGTATTGTATATACCTTGGTGTGAGGAACTCTGCATTTCGTTTTCCCTGCAAATAGGTTTCATATCAGCACGTTTAAAGCTTTGAAACAGCGTAGGCATTATATGTTAAACCTTCCATTAAAGAGGAAGGAAAGCTGTGTTAATATCACTGCATTAAGCTTGGATTTATAAAGAAAAGCTATTTTTTCATAAAGGGGTGAAGAAAAGGTCTACTTCGGTTTTTCTGTTAAGGGAAAGGACAAATAAAACAATGCTGTCTTCCGGGCAGCATGAAAAATGCATTCAAGTGTTCTGTCTTTAAGGAATAAACATCAGAATTCAAAGCCATTTCATAATAATATAGAAGCAAAGGTAGAGTATACTATCCAGGTAGTGTGTTCCCACTGAGCAAAATGATAGTTTGCTTAACTGATTAATTGAAGGCAAGACAAGAACCAAGGGATGGAAACTAATCAAGGAGAGAAACAACCTAGAACTAAAGAGAAATTTCCTAACAGTGACAACAATTAATCAGTGGAACGATTTGCCTGCAGACGTTATGGGTCACTGGAGGCTTTTTAAGAAGAGACTGGACAGCCATTTGTCTGAAATGGTATAGAGTCTCCTGCTTGAGCAGAGGTTTGGACTAGAAGACCTCTAAAGTCCCTTCCAACTCTGTTATTCTATATTCTATGATTAATTTTAATTGGCTGGATTGCTACAGCAACTAAACTATAAATCAGTTTGTAACCTACACAGTTGGGTTTATACAAGACACTAAATCAAATGCAGACACATTACATTGTGCCTTATCACTGCGTGAACTTAGCCAGTGAATACTATAGTACTTGCTGCACATTCATGTCAAATTCTCACTTTATTGTTCCAAGGTGTGTATTTAACACAGCTTTGGCAAAAAGACTAAAATATGTATTTCATCAAGTAGGAGAAAGGATGATTTTTTGTTTTAAAAGTGTCAAAAAGCAAAAGCATGGCGTAGGAGTGCTTTGCAACTCTTACAATTGCAGTTCCCTGCATGCATGTGCCAAAAATGTTGAGAAATCCAGTGTGATAGCACAGCTGGCCATTCCTTTTGCTGTACCTAGGTGATAAAATGCTGTTGAGGGTGAACCGATTCATTTTGTTATCCTCGGTATTTGGCCAGACTCAGCAGTTATTTCTACACAAAATTGTTTATACAGGACACCTAGGAATTTGGTTACTCTGCTTCAGGAAAAGAGTAATGAGAATTTAAATATTTATTTAGTTTTTTCCTTAGACTGCCCAATAGCCACAGGTATCCAGGCAGTTTATAATAAAACATTGTGCCTGAATGTAACCACATGTCTGCAATGTCTACTCTCTCCAAAGTTGCAGTTTGCTAAACAAAAGGGGAATTAACTTTCGTTATTACCTTGAATTCAGCAATTCAGACATAATAGAAAAAAGAACGATAATATTAGTAACCCTATTGCATTAAACTCTTAAAAAACACCTCTCTTTTTTTGTTTTGCTGTTACAAGAATAGAGAGTTTTGGACCAGAAGAGAAATTTATAACCAAAATGTACAATTATCTACTAAGATTTGATAGAGAAGAAGAAATAGCTAAAAGAAATACGATAGCCTGGGCAAGAAATTTTGGTTACAACATTCAATTAGAGGAATGGGGGAAACTGTGGTCTAAAACTATAAATTAACAATGGCTGCTGCCTTTAAGGAAAATCTTTATAAAATGTTTTACCGTTGGCATCTAGCACCGGCAAGATTGGCCAAAATATATCCAAACATGAGTCCAGAATGCTGGAAATGTAAATACAAACAAGGTACCTTCTTTCATATGTGGTAGTCTTGCCCCAAAGCAAGAAAATATTGGAACAAAATAAGGAAATGGTTGCAGGAAATTACCGGTCTCCAAACTTGAACTCAAACCTGAAATGTTTCTGTTAGGAATAGTTAGAGGAATATTTAAGAAATAAATCAAATATATCATAATACATATATTGACAGCGGCAAGAATCGCTTACGCATAGAGTTGGAAATTAGTAAATACCCCCACCGATAGTATGATAATAAAGAAAATAATGGATTGTACAGAAATGGTCAAACTCACATTGGAATTGCAAGATAGAGAAGATATGGAACACTATATGGTTGGGAGAAGTGGTGTAATTGGTTAGACAGTAGGAATAAAAATTAAGGTAAATCTGTAATTATGTATATTAACCTAATTGGAAAAGTCGACGTCACAATGCTGCAAATATTATATACAAGTTTTAAAAATGTGGAAAAGTTCAATAAAAATTACTTTAAAAAAAAGAATAAAGAGTTTTGGAGGGACTTTTTTTCCCCTCCAGAAGAAGAGGATTATCCTCCATCCAAATGCATTAAAAGTTGATTAGGAAGAAAATAATCAAGCTGAAATCATGGGGTCATGGGAACCAAGTAGTGGACAGAGACAGAAAGGTCAGGGTCCAATATAGCAGTTGAGATCAAATTAGGCAACCTGTATGTGGTTGTGCTGTTCAAACTTAGAAGCTTTTGACCTTGAAATACAGGGCTAGTGCACTGGGATTGGCCTTTGAAGTAAAGCTGATAAATCTGAGATACATTATATTTTGAAGCAGATAGGTGTTTGAGGTCACCTTCCAGTATATATGTGACCATGTGTTCATTTCTCTCTCACCCTTTCCCACCGTCCACACACAAAAATACAAATTCCCCATTACCTACATAAATAGTTACATATGCACATTTAGGGACACATCTCCCTCATTCACCTGTCTTCCTATATTCAGTATCCCTATATAATTACATGTGTATACATTACATATACAAACCCACCCCTTCTCACTTCCCTAGGGACAGAAATATATAACCATTTGTGTCCCAGCCATCACCATCTGCTCACCAAAAGCAACAAACATCCTTACATGTAATGGATGCCTGGACCAAATGATGAGATCTCCTGATCCAATTATACATTATGTTCAGGGCCTGCCAAGCACATATGCATCCACAGACACCATATTACTAACAGCTCTGATAGATTATACAGGTAGGGCAATGGTGCAGCCCAGAAAGGTTGAATCACATTATCCAGTTTGTCAGAATTAGAATTGAAGTATTGTGTGGAAAATGCAGAAAATAAGGGGAAAAAATTGATTGTTTGCCAGTCCTGGTTCCAACCAGAGAGCATATCTGCTCTATCTCTCCAGGTGCCTGGTGAGAAGAGGAACATTAAACAACATTTTCACACATCATTAAAATATTTATATTTAGCTATTCAAAATGCTTTCAGGCATCATGTTCCTTTTTCAGTTGTTGGATATTCAACACTTTGCTTTTAGAAATGTGTCATCCATAAGAGTTATTTGGCAAAGCTGTCATTATCAATAGTATTGTGCATGAATTCAATTCAGTCTTTTTCAACCATGTTTGGGAAAATGGACTTGTTAATAATATTCTGTGCTTACTCTGCAACTTTTGCAATCTTTATCTGTTTTATCTCCTAAGTCTCCTATAGTCAAAGGCCCTGGTTAATTTATGGTTCTGATTTCATTCCGGTGACTTTTGTAATGCATATGAAACCTATCATAATCACTATTACAGAAATTCCCAGTAGTGATCATTCCAAGCAAGGATTGTTGTTTTTTTGTTTTGTTTGTTTTGTTAGTTATTAAAAAAATGTATATGCCATCCATCTCACTGCCCAATATCATTCACAGTGGCTTACAGTGCCTTCATTTCAAAAGCACTTCTTTTCATCCAAGATTGCAGCGAGCTAGCGGATAGTTCTTTTGCATCCAAATTGCAATCTTGCTGATCCTTTGTGGTTGTTCTCCACTCCGTTAATGCTATTGCTGAGACGCTCGTATACAAGCATTCACATATGGGAAGGGAAAGGGCAGCAGCCTCATATAGCTTAAGAACCGGTCAGAACTCCTTAAGATTCTGAAATGTTGGCTTCAAAACTGCATTGTGTGAATTGGCCTATGGGAGACAATACTTGCTGAATCCCTCATTAGTGTGGTTGCCATCCCAATATCCCCTTCAGTTGAAATGGGCATGACTGATGAAAGAAATTGCATCTAAACTAATGCCTGTTGCTTGCCTCTGACTCTCTTTTGTTGTATTCCTACACTAACCTCTGTTGTACCGTGCTTCTTGGATTGCATTATAATCGTCATAGCTGATATATCCAAAATGCTGCGGAGATTGTTTAGTTTCCTGTTTGCAAACTGCACAATATATATCCTTCCCAACTGTACTTTGACTCTTTTCTGTTTTTCTTTTGTGGTTGTTCTTTTTTTTTTTTGCTGTGTCCACTGAACTGCACACTTTTTTCCTGCCTATCCCCATGCTTCTGCTCTGGCTATAGGACTTCTTTGTGAACAATAACTCCAAACAGGTAAGTTTGCTTCTGCCCAAATCTTCAGCTGAATGAGCAAGTGGTTTGTGCTGATATGGTCAGCTGAATAAGTAAATGCATTTTTGTTGTTTTTAAAAAGCTTAAAAGGTCTGAGTTTATTAGGATTTATTTTACTGTTCAAAATTATTTCACAAATCATTTAATGGTTTACACTTAGGGACAGTGCTAATGTAGCCTTACGTATATGGAAAAAATAAAATCATTTATAGCAGAGATATAAAAGTACTGAAGTTTTATGTCTCTTACAATACTATGACAATTTAGAATCAGTCTAATGTTCTTGGGCGGAATTGACTTATTCTTTACTTACTCTCATTTTTTATTTTTTATTTTGCAAACTGTTTATTTGCTTTTCCAATTGACCAGTGCTTTATTAGACAGGTCGTTCAAGAAGGATTGGGGTGGTCAGTGGGAAATGGAACTAATTTCTTTAATTTTGAAAGACCTTGTGAATATTAGTAATTGTCATAAAGTATCTGGCTCTATCAAAGAATGCTTTATGCATAAATATTTCTCTCTGTGTACATATATATGTATATCGATGGGTGCGTGCATGTGTGTGTTTCTCAGCAGATGGCAGCATCTGTCTGACCCTTTCAAGCTAAGCAGGGTCTAAAATGGAGAGACATCTCTAGGAAATTCTAGGACCATACAAGTAGGTTAACTCAGTGTCTTTCATTTTGCAACTTTAAGATGTGTGGACTTCAATTCCCACAGTTCCAATTGGGGAATTCTGGGAATTAAAGTCCATACATCTTAAAGTTTCTAGGTTTGAAAATCACTGGGTTAGCCTGTAGAAGAAAAATCCTGAAAGACAAACAACTTCTGTGTCGCTACAAAGAAACTATAAACATATATATGAGTGTATGTATATATGTATATGGACTGAACCAACTTGAAATTTGGGCTGCGTTATCTCAGATTTTGAAAAAGATTTGGATGAATATCCCAAATTCCTTCTGTGGCTGCAATCAAACAATTGTTTAGTTATGTTGAACCAGCTTTTCTCCAGAGTCCTCCGATATGTTTGATTTCATCTGTTATCAACCTTGAATGACATTCTGGTTGGGTTTGTCAGGGCATGAGATTGGAAAAGACTGCTATCCCAATAAATCCATTTATGCTTGTCCATTCTTGGATTTGTACATACCCATGTTACCTCCCTGTAACTGAATCACGATCCTGCCACCTTTTTGTAAGTTACAATTGTTGAAGAGCAGATCCATAGAACATCTGCTTTGCACCCAGAAGGTCCCAGGTTCAAGATCTTTGATACCAAACTTGGAAAGATTCTCATTAAAATTTTTGGAGAGTTTCTGCCAGTCAGAAGGTACAATATAGGACTGGTTGGATCAAAAATTTGATTTGGCAGATAATTTTCCACTTCTTCATTCAATGTTGAAGATGAAGTTTTATATGGAATTGGAATAACTTTTTGTCCATCCCAGTAATGTCTGCCTTGGCAAGCTAAAATCTGTCACGCATCTCAGATTGTTACACATATCAAATGGAAATATTAGAGACTAAACTTGGGATCTTTTGCATATGAGAAGGTATTATGTCATTGAACAAGGGCTCTTCCATTTAAAGAATCATGAAAAGTTTGCTTTGCAGTATCCCAGCTGATAGTAACCAACTCTAAATAAAATGTCACAACATATCCAAGAAAAGACTATCTGTGTTCCTCACTGTCTTTTGTTTGTGGATTCTTAAATATTTCCATCTGGATAAATATTTAACCACTTGTAACCAATAGCCTGTTTATTTCCCTCCTTCTCCTGATAATCTTCCAATTTATGAAATAGATTATTGTGTTTCAGTTATACTTTAATTGGTGGCCTTAGTAAAGATTCTTGATTTATATTTGAGATATTGGCATGTGCCAGAACTTCTAAAATACCACTGCGCATCTACTTATTAATGGATTCTTTTCATGCCTTTTATAGAAAGAAGACTCCATTGATGACACACTGAGTTCCAGGCATAAAGTCAAGGAGCTTTCAGTAATAGATGGTCGAAGGGCTCAGAACTGCAATATTCTGCTCTCAAGGTATCACTAAATGCAGCATTATTATTATTATTATTATTATTATTATTATTATTATTATTATTATTATTATTATTATTATTATTATTTATTATTATTATTTATTATTATTTATTATTATTTATTATTATTTATTATTATTTAATTTATATTGCCGTCTATTCACCCATGGCAACTTGAGACTGCTTACACAATGTAAAACCATATTTAAAACAAAAACAAAAAATAAAAATAAAAATAAAAAAGTCAAAAAGTAACAAAAAGAATCAAATAAATTAATAAAGTACAATAGAAAATCTGGGGGGGGGAATCATCCCCCAACTCCCACCCACCCCGCCCTGATGACAGCAGATGACACGAGCCATTTGATGGACTCCATCACGCTCTGGGTTCCCCAGGCCTGCTGGCAGAACCAGGTCTTCAGTGCCTTCTGGAAGAGAGCTAGAGTGGGGGCCATTCTAATCTCTGGGGGAATGATGTTCCAGAGAGAGGGAGCCACTACAAAGAAGGCCCTTCTTCTCGGTCCCACCAGGTGTATCTCCCTCAGGGATGGGACCCACAACATTCCCTGCCTCCCCGCTCTAATGGGTCACTCTAATGGCATTGCCCTTCTTTTGTAAGAACAAGTTCTCCTGAGTCTTTCTATGTAAGACATCCTCTGAAAGATTGAAAGTCTCTTTGATGACCACACCTCTTTTGTGTTCATTTTCTTTTACAGAGACAGACAGCATTGTATACGCTATACATTTGCCTGTAGTAAGATTCGTTAGCTTCATGGTGGTTGCAACTCCCTGGGGCCACAAATAGGAAATGAAAAGCAATGGATTACTAGAGGGTCTAAAGTGGAGTCAACCCAAAAAGAAACTCCATTGTGGCTGCAAGAAGAGAGGCCTTCTGGCATCCATTGCAGTCTGCTCAAAAAGTGGCTCAAAAAAATTGCGCTGTGGAACAGCTTTTATCCCTAAAAAGAAGATTGTGCAGGTAATCCTCGAGTTACAAATGTAATAGAGCCTGCCAGTTACATTCATAACCTGAGGATTTGTTAATTGGATCACATTAAATGAATGTGATAACTCCTGCTTTACCCAATGCACTCACTAATCAAATGTGCACGTCATTAAGTGCACATGAGGCTCTGAGCCTCTGGAGACTCACTCATCTTTCAAAGATCTCCATAATCAAGCGAGCTGCCTCCTCTCCAGCCTCTCTACCATGGTTTCTTTACCTGCTCCCAGCACTCCAAAAGGGAAGCAGTTGAGAGAAGAGGCAGAGCGGGACAAGCAGGGGGAATGTTGCATTGTCTCTACGGTCAGTCATAAGGGTGAACAAATGCCTTATTGCTTGCAACATTCGTAACTCCTGGATTGTGTCAGAACTACTTTTGGGGATGGTGTAATAACTTTAAACCAGCATTAAGTGAATGATCATAACTCGGGGACTGCATATACTGTATGTAGAAAAAATAGCAAAAAAATTGGCAAAAATAATCAGAAAATAAAATACAAGCAAGACCTTGTTGATGATCCAAACTCTGTCAAGGATCTTGGAGTACTCATCTCTAATGACCTAAGTGCTAGAGCCCACTATAACTACATAGTCAAAAAGGCATTAAGAGTTGTTAACCTAATCCTACGTAGCTTTTTCTCTAATAATATCACACTACTAACTAGAGCATACAAAACATTTGCTAGACCAATACTCGAATACAGCTCATCAGTCTGGAACCCACATTACGTATCTGATATTAACACAGTTGAGAAAGTCCAGAAATATTTCACAAGAAGAGTTCTCCACTCCTCTACTCGTAGCAAAATACCTTATGCCACCAGACTTGAAATTCTAGACTTAGAAAATCTAGAACTATGCTGCCTTTGGTCTGATCTAAGTATAGTATATAAAATCATACATTGCAATGTCCTACCTGTCAATGAATACTTCAGCTTCAACCATAACAACACAAGAGCACACAATAGATACAAACTCAAGGTTAATCGCACCAAACTTGATTGTAGGAAATACGACTTCAGCAACAGAATGGTCAATGTCTGGAATACTCTACCGGACTCTGTGGTTTCTTCCCAAAACCCCAAAAACTTTAACCTTAGACTGTCTATTATTGACCTCACCCCTTTCCTAAGAGGTCTGTAGGGGGCGTGCATAAGCGCACCAAAGTGCCTACCGTCCCTGTCCTATTGTTTCTTTTATTTTTCTTATATGTACTCATTTCTTGTATTCATAACTATGTTTATCCTTATACCTATTATCTTGTAAATGATTGACAAATCAAATAAATAAATAAACAAATAAACAAACAAATAAATAAATAAATTGAGGAGAGTCTATACAACTGCAAATTCAGTTTTTTTAAATAAAAAATATAGAGATGTAATATGCAGACCAAATTTGGTCTGCTGCACAGATCTTTAGACTTCAGTTATAATTCTCTATGTGGTACCATCTAATTAAAAAAAACCATGCTTTTGAATTGCAGAAAGGGCAGGAATAATGTAAGTTTGAATGACCACTGTGTAAATGTTTTGTCTTCCACCTTCCCCAGTAATCCTCCAGCTGTTCACAAGTGAAGGTGCCTAGCTGTATTCTCAGTACCATGTGTGTTTAAATGTTTTAATTACTTGATTGCCATCCTTGCACTCAGACTTGATTTAATGCACAATCCAGAACAGTGCAGAATTGAAGACAGCTTGATTAGAGTTTAATGGGAATCCACTATTCCAGCCACCATCACTATGCATAAATCTTCTCCCTCTCTGCCTGTTAAAAATGGGTTGACTTGCATACACTATACTGTTTTCAAATGTGGCAAAGGAGATCAGGAATTATTTGCAGTGGTGTGGAGGGGGCAAAAGACACTCATGCCATTGTGTTTCTTCCAAGAGAGCTACCTGACAGGCTGTGAGTATAAATTTGAGTTTGAGATTCATATATTGTAAATAAGTCAATTATACATATTTTCATCTGGGAGGACCATGTCAAATATCTAGAGAATTACAGTTGAAATGCACTGTTTTTCTTCTTGCACTGTTGAATTAAGAAAAGATTTCTACACACGATCATCAGGCCAGCTCTTTATTTATCCTATACATTTTATAAAGCAAACCAGATATTGTTGGCATGCATCTCTGAAAAGTTCGGCCTTGCTAGATATTTTATCTCTTTCTGGGAAAAATGGTTGGACAGTGAGGTCATATTAGACTTCTTCTCAAGCTAGGAAATATTTTTGGTTTTCCATCCCCCCACCTCTTTCCTATGAATGTAACAAGACCATATATGGTTTTGCATTTTGGGGTTGATTCTTAAACTGTATCGAACAGATCTAGACATTGTTCTTTGCACCTGAGTTTAATGTGCTCTTGTTAGCTCTCATTCTTTGCTGGCTTCATAAATCCTATTGAGGGTCATTGGCATCATCCTCTGAATACCAGCTGTGAGCGCTTGATTTATGAACTTCCCCAATGGATCTCTTTAGCCACTGGGAGAAACATGATGCTGGATTAGATAGCACTATTCTTCTTATGGAAATGGTGGTGGTCAGGCTTAGCAATGCTTTTTAATTAATTGCATCTCCCTTTAATGTCCAGTATGTTTAAGATCCAGTTAGCAAGTCTTCATTTGTTTCATGTGCTTCCATTATTCCAGAAGATAAAATAACATCCCTGAACCTGGGCAGCTTAGATTCCAGGGCTTGCATCTCAGATCGATCCATTTCACAGTGGCAATATTGATTGTTTCACGGATGCTTTCTCAGAGGAAGCTCAGACGACCTATGCTTTCATTTCATTCAGTTTTCAAGACATCTCCCACCGAACTCTCTGATTAGAAATTCTCTCCCAGCCATTTTAGCATTCAGGCCTCCTCGTGGAAACGGAGCATCTTATGACTTTCACATTCTTCACACACACATGAAACTTCCTGGATTCACTTCCCCTCCCTCTCAGGTGATGAGAGTACTGCTTTCCATACAGATAAAGACAACAGTTTTGCCACTGAAAAGTCAGAGCTGGTATAGGGGTGGGCTTAGATTTGTGATGCCCATATTGGATGTACTGGAGCCAACAATCATGAGAGCTGATTGTAAAAATGTTTTGGAATTCTCAGCTGAGACTCGGTGCCTAGCCCTGCCCCCCCCCACCCCACACCCTCAGCTGTTTGGCAGCTATCCATGCAATGCAGCAGTGGCAGTAGAGACAGCAGAGACAGTTGTTATGCCTTTATCAGCACACCACTGGCTACACCTAAACCTTTTTCCTGGCACAGGCATGTACTTTTCATATTGAAGCATAACCAGTCAGCACCTGGTGCTTCACCTTTCTCCCAGATATAATTCCTTCCAGACCCTAAATAGCTGATCAGTGTTTTGAAGTTGCTCGGCAACCCTGATTTATTTCCTAATAAGTTACTACAGTTAGGAAAATAATTCTTTCCATATATCGGTCAAAAATCTTTCTGCTCTGGCTTGTCTCTGGGTTGCATAAGGTTCCCCCACCCCAGAAGCGTATTCTGAGCCTATTAAAGTTATGCACGCTCCCTGATGTTTTAACCCTCATGAGGCTAGCTGTTTGTCTCATCAAAGCTAAGCACACCCATTCAACATCTCTTGCAAGCTGTCACACCCTGTCAACAAGTTTCATCATTTAAAGCCTTGTAACAGCCAATGCTGTAACTACTACCTTCCATCTCAGATAGTCTGTATGCTTAGCAGCTGCTGCCAACAAAGATAATTATTGTGGTTTTCTGGACAGGCTTACTGCTTTTGCTGGCCTCCTTTCCCCCTGCATTGTCAAAGAAGAGCTTTTCCTATCTCCCTCCCCATCCTCGCCTATAAATATTCTCTAGGGGCATCTTAGTGCAGGCTTTGTGCGTGTTTGTTTTTTCAGGCCTAGAGTGTGAGGACCAAACACCCTCCCGTACATAAAAGCCCCCAGACAGTCCTGCTGACACAGCAAAGATTATTTGCAAATCCATAGAGCAGGCAGGCTCCAGAGTCCATTCCTTGCAGAGAAATACAGAACTTCTTGCAAAATATTCATTCCCCTATTTCATTATTCATTTCACTGCCAGGGGCGGCCTCTAAATTTCCCCCTCTCCACTCTGTCACACATACACTTAGATCATTATAAGTTTGTTTATGCTTATTTATTAATTAACCCCAAAATGAAAATCAATCCAATTAAAAGCAGCATAAAGGTAACATTTAGAAATTTAGCAAATTTTACAGTAATGAGATAGACAGGCCAACTTCCATGCTTATGTAACATTGTTCTGTTGTCTGCCTTTCCAGGCTTAAACTATCAAATGATGAAATTAAACGTGCAATTTTAACAATGGATGAACAGGAGGACCTGCCAAAGGATATGCTTGAGCAGGTGAGTGCAGAAGGTGTTCAGTTCTTGAAAGAAATGTTAAAAATGAAAGTCCAGAATTCACCATCGAAGATCTCTGCTCCCACCATTTCAGGGCCGTTGGGTTTTTTTCCCCCTCCTGATCTATGCAAGTAGAAGAGTTTAGCTCTGAGCTAAAGAAGGAACTAGGACATGGGTATCAAACTCGTGGCCCGCGGGCTGAATGCGTCACGTGCTGGCCCCGCCCCCGCCCGGTTTAGCGAATGGGAAAAAAGTCCCTATAGGTCATGTAACGCCGCTGTGATGATGTGCGTTTGACACCCCTGAACTAGGAGATGTGAAATGGTTGCCTTAAGAAAGTAGAAAACCTGAGAAAGAGACTTGGAACAGCTCCACCTTAACTTGTTGTGTTATTTGGCAGCTTTCAAGAAGCATGTCTTTTGAAGAAAAATTAGAAAGTGTAGGAAAGAAATCTCCTTCGATGCTATCTGTGAATGATCCTCCGTGACAGACACACAGACACATGCACACACACACACCCTATTCATAGACTGCTATAGGCAGAGATGTAGTTGATAAGTTCTATCCCAGCTGAAGAGTCAAAAGGGTGAAGAAAGATCACCACGCCTTAGCAGGTGACTAATCTAATCTGCCTGGAATGAAGAGGTTTCATTGGCTTTCTTTATGAGAAGAAAAATATTCTAGGGAAACAACTATTTCTTTTTAATTTAAAAAAAGGAGATGGGAACTTGATCTGCCTCGGTTTTGTCGTACACTGCCCAGAATCTGTTGCTTTGTGAGATGGGTGGCTATATAAATTAGATAGATGGATAAATAAATAATTCAAGGCCTTTTGACTCATGCAGTCCTCAGCCTACTCAGTCTTTCTGTGTAGCCTATGGAGCTCAAATGAACCCTAATCACTGGATCCAATTACCTGCTTGATTAGCCATTAACTGGCTGGTAGGGAGGCAGGCAGGGAGGCTTGTAAGTCTATTACTAAGGGAAACAGCAATGGGTCTCTTCATGATGGAACCCTACTCCACCATTTCTACTCAATAGCAATTGTCCTTAGACTTATATACCGCTTCACAGTGCTTTACAGCCCTCTCTAAGCGGTTTACAGAATCAGCATATTGCCCCCATCTATCTGGGTCTTCCTTTTACCAATCTCAGAGGGATGGAAGGTTGAGTCAGCCCTGAGGCTCGTGAGATTTGAACTGCCGAACTGCTGGCAATCTGGAGTCAGCAGGATTAGCCTGCAATACTGCATTTTAACCACTACACCACCACAGCTCCTCAAAATACAGGTAATCCTCACTTGATCACATTTCGGGTGATTGGCTACTGACTCACATCTATGACTGGTTGCAGCATACCATGGTGATTGCAGCAGCAGAAAATGGCAAAATATGCCCTTTGGATATGCCGGATTTGTTTAATGACCATGTGTTATTCACTTAGCAACCATGGCGACTCACTTCATGAACCTTGTAAAATTGAGTCAGGTCACATAGTGACCCGCTTAATGACTGCAATGACATGTCCAAAATTCTGGGCTCAGTTGTGGTCATAAGTCGAGAACTACCTATACTGTTGGTAATAATACTGCCTAGAGGCCGTCTGTGAGGAGATGGGCAATTAAGAAATTTGAAATAATGGATACACATACACTTATTGCTCTTCCCAGTTATTCTTAAAAATGGAACAGGTATCTTAACAACCCCATACATTGCAAAGTTACCCATCTGCCTTTCCAGGCCACCAACGAGATTCTCCACTAAAAATTATTTATTACCCACCTCATCAGTAGAAAATCTTGAAGCCTACATATCTGTGCATTCTCTTGTCCTGTAAAAGTTGAATTCCCAAGAGAAGATTGTTCATCAAAAATAGTAGTTGCCAACCGGTGGGCCAGGGACCACTGGTGGTCCATGAAAATTTTTTGGTGGTCTGTTGAGAGATGTTCTCCCAAAGCAATTAATCCAGGCTGCATGGGAACACATGGCCCACCCACCCACTGGCCTCCACCCTTTGGGCCGAGTGCAAACCTTACCTTGAGTAGAGCCACGTGAGCTGGAACTGGAAGGTAAGATCAACAGCAGGGAAGGGAAATCTGCCCCGGGGTGGCTTGCTGACGTTGGTGGGAAAATTGGTCCCATATTCCAGAGCTGCAGTAGTGACAAGACCAGCTGGCCCTTTGGTCATCCCGGAGTAACTCCTCCAGTCCATGGCAGGCTGGTGCACCCGGGTGGAGAAGCAGCTGCTCCGGGATGACCAAAGGGCCAGTCCTGTGACTACTGCAGCTCTGGAATATGGGACCGACTTTCCCACCAACATCAGCAAGCCACCATCAGTCAAAATTCATATTAGTAGTTCACGCGATTTAAAATTATGAGTTTGGTGGTCCCTGAGGTCCAAAAGGTTGGCGGCCCCTGATCTAAAATACCTATTTTTTTTCTTTTTTAGCTTTTAAAATTTGTTCCTGAAAAAGCTGACATCGATCTTCTGGAAGAACACAAGCATGAGTTGGATCGGATGGCCAAAGCTGACAGATTTCTCTTTGAAATGAGCAGGTGATTTTGCCAGCTGCTTCCCTTCTACCATTATTGCTGTCCACGCCAAAAAAAATGGACTCAATAATTAGGGGAACGTGTAGAAAGGAGGGTTGTTTTCCTAGCCATGTAGACCATGGGTGTCAAACTCGATCACATCATGTATCGTGACATATCGCAACGTTTATTGCCTTTGCAGAGCCAGGGTGGGCGTGGCCTGCACATGATGCAACCGGCCCATGGGCTGCCAATTTGACATCCCTGATGTAGACTATGTGTTGAGGAAAAATCTGAAGTAGAAAATTACAGCCTGGGCTTTTCATACTGCTGAAATTGGTATTCTAGTCTAGTGAGATTGATTTGGTTGATGTAATTATTGCTGTAAAGGAGGAAAGAGATAAACACAGAAAATGAATGATATGGAAAGGCATGTCTCAATTGTATTAAGGATTTGAGAAAAGGGCCACAGGAAGCATGGGGAGATAGAGCTCTTTAAAGAGCTTACAGGCTAAAGATTTTCCATTGTTTCCATTTCCATTTAATTTCAGTGTGTGTTTTCTTATTGAATCATGTTAATTTGTAAGTTGATTTGCCTTTGCTGTATGCAGTAGAAATACAGAATACAAGACCGCCTTCTCTAATCTGATAGCTTCAAGATGCATTCCAAGCTTTGACCATGTTATTTTAGGAACTGTAAGTTGAATTGAAGGACATCAGATTTTATGGAGCTTGAAAGTCACAGAATAAGTGTTTGATGATAATCTTTGCAGATGATTGCTCTGACTTTCCAGAAGGCAACTGTGCAATTTAACCTGAAACATGTCATTTTTTTCTTCCAACTTTTATTAACTTTGAGAAATGTGGTTCTTTTACTGTCTTACGCCTTTTTCTTATAGGATAAATCATTACCAGCAAAGGTTGCAGTCCTTGTATTTTAAGAAGAAGTTTGCTGAGAGAGTTGCTGAAGTTAAACCAAAAGTTGAAGGTAAAATATGGGCTCGAGGAAATGGTTATGTGAGTCAAAGTTTGATGAAACTTAAAATGAAAACACTTAAGGAAGCCAATTTCTCTTGAACTGAATCAAAGTGCAAGGAACCCCTATTATATTTGAAATAAATATTTGAAACAAGGAAAATCTTTTAAATTTTATTTTAAATTTTGAACAAAACTGTGGTGGAAAGGGAGGGGGATGGGATATCACATTAATGAGAATAGACTGTGACCTTAAATAATAAATATTTTAATTTGTATGAATTATTAAAGGATTAATGGTGATGAGAACATATAATAATTGAAATGTTCTATGAATTGTTCATAGAACAGGAATTGGGTATGTCTAGTTTAATGAAAAGAAGGACTAGGGCTGATATGACAGCAGTGTTCCAATATCTCAGTGGCTTCCACAAAGAAGGAATCAATCTATTCTTCAAAGCATCTGAAGGCAGGACAAGAAACAACAGATGAAAACTAATCAAGTATAGAAGCAACCTAGAACTAAGGAGAAATTTCTTGGCAGTAAGAATGATCAATCAGTGGAACAACTTGCCTCCTGAAATTGTGGATGCTCCAACACTGGAATAAAAAGAAGTGATTGGACATAGGATTCCTTCCTTCTTTAGCAGGGGGTTGGACTAGAACATCTCCAAGCCAGCAAAATTCTGGGAGATGAAGTCCACAAGTCTTAAAGTTGCCAAGATTGGAGGCCCCTGCTCTTGTCAACATCATCTTGTCTAACTAGATCTTCTTCCACTTGCCTTCCCTTTCTAGCAATTCGAACTGCTTCCACCCAAGTATTCCAGAGTAAAAGCCTGAAGCAGCTGCTTGAAGTGGTTTTGGCTTTTGGCAACTACATGAACAAGGGTCAGAGAGGGAACGCTTATGGCTTTAAAATTTCTAGCCTGAACAAGATTGCAGATACCAAATCCAGCATTGACAAGTAAGCAGCTTCAAGCATGTACTGATTTTCTGGGGGAGGAGGGGTTGCTGGAAGACTAGCTTCCTTTTGAACTCTGTCTTTAAAGAATCTAGATAATCTGCTTCTTCTAGAGAAGTCTGCAGCTGAAGCTGCACTACGTTGTCAAGAACTTTCCCTGAAAAAGAAGTTTGGAGAGAATATTATTATTATCTAATAAAGTTAGCTTTTTAAAAAGGTTCCTCAGAATGGGAGGCACAAGGCTCCTTTAAAGCAGCCAGAATAATCCCTCCCCCCAAAAAGTACTAACAACCTCTTAGTTCTGACACACACATTCACACACTACATAGAGGATCCAGGATGGACAGTTTTATGCTAGATAACATTGTCTTGACTTGTCCCCAAACAGAATGAACCTCAGATAACAGTAAAATTTCCCTCTTCACAGCGGTGGATTCAAAAATTTTAACAACCAGTTCTGTGGGTGTGGCTTAGGGCATGGGCATGGTTTGGTGGTCATGTGACTGGGTGGAAGTGGCTTGGTGGTCATGTTATTGGCTGGGTGTGACCAACTCAATATCACTCACATCGAGGCATGCATCTCCTCGCCTGGCCTCTCATGACTGTGGGGATGCTGCAACAGTCGTAAGTGTGAAAAATGGTCATGTCACTTTTTTCAGTGCCATTGTAACTTTAAATGGTCACTCCACACACCAGCAAAGGAGGGGGGAAAACTCCAGAGACATTCCTGAGATAGGAAGTCTAGTCCTGCCAAGAATGTAATAAGGGTTAACAGAGATGCAGTTTCTGTAAGCAACACCAGAATGTTTCCTTCCTGCCTTCCTTACAGGATTAGGTCTCCGAACTGCTTGGAATGTTAACAACCAGTTCTAGCGAATAGAACCTATTCGCCTGCCTCTTCACCACAACATAAGAAATCAAGTTGTACAGATATTATAGTGACCAGGCAGTAGAACTTCCTGTTCTTCCCTCCCCAGTAGGAATTGAAGAAGCTTAACGAGGACATCTAGATGACAACCGTAATAGTATATGGATGGAGACATTTTTAGCATTCATGAGAGGCAAAGAATTTCCGTGAGAAAAGCAGCTTTTTGCTTAGAAAGAGCTGAAGCATAAAGGCTTCTGTGGTTTCTATGCCATATGATGTTTGAATCCACATTTTGAGTGTCTGTAGAAATGGATATAGTCAAATACTCTTGCCACTGAATGTAGCACTGACCACCAGTCTTGTTAGTTTTAAAAGAGAATTAGAAAAATTCATGGAGGACAGAGATATCAGTAATTACTATATTTAACAGCTGGGTGCTGCCCTCTGAATCACAGATAGCAAATCTCAGATACACACTATTGAGAAGCAAGTATTTTGTTGTCCAAAATGGACCTGGTTGATCATTGTGTGTCATCACAATATTGAACTCTTCATCTAAATTCTGGAAAGGTATAGCTATTTTCTTTGAGGTGAATTAAATGTAGCTTACTTTCTCTTTGTTGAAAAATAATGTTTCATGTTCATGTTATTAACTGTTGCTTGTCTTTATCCTAGGAACATTACCTTGTTGCACTATCTCATCACAATCATAGAAAAAAAATATCCCAAAGTATTCAGCTTACATGAAGAATTAAAAGATGTCCCTGGAGCTGCCAAAGTAAAGTAAGTGTGTATTAAGGAAACTGGTATTACTGCTAATTTCTTTGTATGAACTTCTGTATAGCAAAAAATGTTCTCAGATTCGAGAAAAGTAAATAGCAAAAAAAGTTGTAAAAAATTAAGTATTAAAAAAAAAGTTGTTTTTCAGATTGGGTCAATTCACCGAAAGGCTACTTGGGACTGGTTTTAGAATACATTAAACATTTCAGAGTAGGTGGTATTCAAACATTTATACTACCGATTCTGTGGGTGAGGTGTGGTGGGCATGGTGTTGCTTGGTGGGTGTGGCATGACTTGGTGGGCGTGGCTTGGTGGGTATGCCAGGGGAAGGATACTGTAAAATCCCCATTTCCACCCCACTCCAAGGGAAAGATATACTGTAAAATCTCCATTTCCACCCTACTCCAGGGGAAGGATACTGCAAAATCCCCATTCCCTCCCTGCCCTACTAACCTGCTTTCCAGCTCCGTTCTCCTGCGCAGGGCAACAAAAGAAGACCCAGCCAATCAGCTGGGACTCAGGAGGCAGCGAATAGATGGGGCCAACCAGAGGTGGTATTTACCAGTTCTCCGAACTACTCAAAATTTCCACTACCAGTTCTCCAGAACCTGTCAGAAGTGGCTAAATACCACCTCAGGAGTAGGAATTGTAACCAGGATGATTAGGGGACTGGAGACTAAAACATATGAAGAATGGTTGCAGGAACTGGGCTTGGCTAGTCTGGTGAAGAGAAGGACCAGGGGAGACATGATAGCAGTCTTCCAATATTTGAGGGGCTGCCACGGAGAGGAGAGGGGTCAAGCTATTTTCCAAAGCACCTGAAGGCCAAACAAGGAATAATGGATGGAAACTGAACAAGGAGAGATTTAACCTGGAAATAAGGAGAAACTTTCTGACAGAACAATCAACCAATGGAACAGCTTGCCCTCGGAAATTGTGGGAGCGCCATCACTTGAGACTTTCGAGAAGAGATTGGACTGCCATTTGTCAGAAATGGTGTAGGGTCTCCTGCTTGGGCGGGGGGTTGGACTAAATGACCTACAAGGTCCCTTCCAACTCTGATTATCCGTTATCTGTTATTGTCCCACTCTTTCAGAGTACTTTATTTTCAGAAAGAGAGTTTATATTTTACATCGGTGAATGAATTGTGCCAGTTTTAACCTCAAGGCTGTCTTCATCAACATGTACCAGGGTTAAGTAGCTATAGATAAGATGCTAATCTAAAATACCGGTAAGAGTATTTTCCCCACTCCAGTCAGAGAAGTATGGAGGGTGTCAGAGCCTACATTATAAAACTTTGCTAGGAACAGCTTGAAAAGTTAATGTTTTTCCTTTATTTCTGGCAGTATGACTGAACTGGAGAAGGACATTGGCAACTTGAGGAGTGGGCTCAGGGCTGTGGAGACAGTAAGTGTTGCTTATCCATTTAATGGTTCCCTACTTTTATTTCAAGACAGGCCACGTGTGTGGGCGTCTGAGGAAGTGTTAGCATTCATTCTTAGAGGGAGAGTGGGGGGGAAAACAGGTGAAGCAGTTTTTATCTCTAGTCTAAGATAATGGCTCCTCTTTCCTGTCCTGCATCTTGTTACTTATTATTACAGCTTTATAGCTCTGTTAATGACCTCAGTAGCTTTTTTGCTTTCTCGGGGTCATCATGAGTGATTTAAAAAAAAAAGTTTGGCCTTCATAGTTCTAACAGCACAGAGATAGTTTTGAAATGAGTGGAAGCCCATGTGGCAGTCAGGTCTACAGCTGCTTTCAATCAACTTTAATCAGCAAAGCCAACTACAAACCTTTGTTCCAGTATGTCCTTCACACATGTATGCCTCCCCCATCTCAGAAACGGTTGGACATTTTGAAAAGGGGTAGTGTGTATATGGTAGATTAGGAAAATTGCCTCCAGAAATTGGGCTGAAGGGAGTTGAGTTGAGATCAGTAGGCCGAGGTTCCTCTGAAAGTATATCAGTTTTATGTTACCATAAATGTTTTCAAAAATAAAGATGAGTCATTCTAACTTTGCACTGATACTGTTGAACAAAATGGTCCTTATCAATAATAAAGAAAATAAAAACTATGTTTCAGGGAGCTATATTCCTCTGTTTGATTGAGGAGGAAGGCTGAGGAGAGACAGCAAGGGTTATTTGAAGGTCTAACTGCACCAGAACTTTCAATAGCATGGAATGGGTTATGTATAAGGCACCCAGGAAGATGTAGACCGAGATAGGCAATCCTTTGATGGCCACAGACAGTGCCTGAAATATTCGGATGGCTGCTATAGAAGGAGAAGATTGCATGGCCTACAGTATGTGAGGAGAAGCAGAATTTGTCTTCTAGGATTGAACCATAAGAGCTTTTAAAAGGGAGGAGGGGTTCCTAAAAATAATTCTTGAATGATTTTGTTCAAAAAACTCACAGGAGACTGGCTTTAGAATGATGGACTGGTGTGCTGGAGGCTGCTCATACCAGCATTGCTAGAACCAATTGTTACATTTTCAAGAATGTTATGAGCCCCAGTTGAGAGCAAAGCTGATCTGCAACACCTAGCACACCAGCCAGTGGTTTGGCAGCTAGCAGCACAGTGCAATGGACCTGGCAGAGCTGGCTTATTATACATTGATAGTATTAACACTCCATTGAATGATAGACTCACGGATGAAACAGAAAAGCCAAAATTTCATACGGAAAAACAGAAGTTCACAGAATAATGATGATCATTAATACACCATAAAGCTTATCTTTAAAAGACCTTTGACCCCCTGATTTGCTCAACTGATGGACAGTTTAGGTTTTGACTTTATTTCCTGATAAGAGTTTAGATTGGCCCCCACTTACAATGAGAGCCTGATTGAGGGATAGTGTATTTTGAAGCTCTTTTGAACCTCTACTTGCATAGGAGATCGTTCTGTATACATGGTTGTGTTTATGGCAGAATGAATATTCAGTTGGACAAAGGCCCTAACAAATAAGACATTCCAAGCTAAAGAGGCTTCTTCGTAGTGGCATCAGTTCTATGGAATATCCTCCTTTGAAAGGGTCCCATCATTCCATGGATTCACAGAGAGCTTTTTATTATTCAGGTTTATTTTTATTGAGTCAATCTGATAGTTGACCTTTGTGCTACAATTTAAACTGGCTGTAGAGGAAGTGCTTGGCCAGTTTGGTTGAATGGTTAAGACATCAGGATAGAAAGCAAGAGATCGAGAGTTCAAGTCCATCTTAGTCATGAAAGCCCAACGTATCTTCACAAGGTTGCTGTTGTGGGGGAAAAGGAGGGAAGAGAGTGTGTTGGATATATTGTATATTTCCTGCTTTTTTGCTTTTTATTTAACATAAATATGAAGATAAAATGTGCTTAATAAAAATGAAGGGCTGAAACAGAACTGGAGAGTTGTCCCTTCATAGCTCCATGCATTCAATTCCTTAACACTTATCCAGAATCAGGATATTCAGCCAATCCTATCCATAGTTAATGTCAGCCACGATTTGTTCAACTAAAAGCTACTGGGAAGACGGATAATTTATTTGGCTGTCTAACCCAACTGAACAGCCTGTTTCCCACAGGAGTGCAGTATTTATGCATTTTTCATATTACATCATCAGAAATACTTCTCTTAGAGTGTACATTGGGGGGTCTTGGACATGAGCTGTTTGGGGATTTCTAAATTTCAATCATTATCTGGGATTATGACTACCTCTGTCTGGAGTAACATGAATTTTTTTCTTTAAAGGAACTAGAATACCAAAAATCCCAGCCTTCCAATCCAGAGGACAAGTTTGTTTCTGTGGTTAGCCAATTCATCACTTTGGCCAGCTTCAGCTTTTCAGACGTAGAAGATCTTCTAGCAGAAGCCAAAGAACTGGTAAGGAATAATTATTACAGGATAGAGATATGCAGCATCTGATCTGATAGAGACTGCAACTGACAGATACCAAGATGATACTCACACTGGATCTAAAGCACTCTCTCATCTCCTTCAGATCCAGATATTGCACATCCTTACCATGGATCTCTACTAATCCAGAACTTTATGGGATTTTTGATGCTAGGCCTTAAATTTTGACCATAGTTCAGTGTATTTCTCTTTCATATAATCAGTTTAACCGAATGTTCTGAAATCACACCTTGAGTCTGGGATTATATAAGGCCTTGAACTAAAACCTTTCTCTCCCAAAGCTCCTCTTGGTATAGACCAGGCTTTACAACCTCTTTCAAATGAAAGGATATTTTGGACCTTAAGGTGGCAAAGATGGGCGAAGCCCATCCACAAACTGCAGTTAAACACCTGCTTCTCATGGCTTTAATCATTTTCTGTCATATTAAACTGTAAAATTAAATAACAGACAATTTTTAGAGTGGACAATTTTTAACTGTGCCATTGGGGACTTAGGTTTTGCCTATCCTGTGAGTCTTTTTCTTGGCGTTCTCTGGTCTGTCCCTTGGCTCAGTAGTTGCTAATGTACGAAGATGCATTCTAATTTAAGGAACTCTGCAGTGAGTCCCTCTACGATTTGTCCATCAGAATCAAGTTCTAATTGCAGATGAGTCAATTAAAGAATATGGTTGGTAAGAGAGAGAGAGAGAGAGAAGTAGCTGTCAATCAATCAATGACACCTCCAGAAGTTGTGAATGCTCCAACACTAGATGTTTTTAAGAAGAAATTGGACAACCATTTATCTGATATGGTATAGGTTTCCTGCCTGAGCAGGGGGATTGACTAGAAGACCTCCAAGGTCCCTTCCAACTTGGTTATTCTGTCAGGCAATCATCCAGAAGTTCATACCTCACTCTCTTTCTGACCCTCATTAGCTTTATTTCCTCAGTAAAATATTCAGAGCATTAGCTTTATTTCATCCACCAGTTGTGTGGAAGAGCTGAATGAAGACCCTGCTGCTAACTGCACAGTGGAAATCCTGTCTCAATTTTGCTTCTCTCTTAAAGAGAACTCGCTTCTCTTTAATTCAGCATTTTGTTTCTAAAATAGCAAATGTTTGAAAGGTGGGTTTCCTTCATTATTCATACCCAACATATATATTCATTATTGGGTGGCAGAGTGGTTAGAATGCAGTACTGCAGGCTGGTTCACTGCTCACTCCAGGATTTAAATTCTGAATGGCTCAAGGTTGACTCAGCCTTCCATCCTTCCAAGGTGGGGGCAATATGCTGACTCTGTAAACCGCTTAGAGAGGGCTGTAAAAGCACTGTGAAGCGGTATATAAGTCTAAGTGCTATTGCTATTTCTTTATTATTTACTTTGTAGCATTATACAACCATATCAAATCAAATAACCGCCTTCCAAACAAAATAGAGCAAGTGCATCACTCTTCAACTATCAAAAGCTCTGTGGAAGACCTCCATCTTGATTCTCCTTCAGAAAACTATAAGGAAGGGTGCAACTTGGATGTCCGGTTCCATGGAGTAGGACCATGCCAGGATAATCATGTTACTATAATGGGCCCCCTGTTCTCTTCATGTCAACCAACATACCAGACGGATACAGTTTACTTGGCATATATGATCTATAGATACCTAGTTGCAGGGGTGGGATTCTACCAGTTCACAACTATTCGCTAGAACCGAATGTTGTTAACATTCTAAGCAGTTCGGAGAACCAGTTGTTAGAAGAAATTACTGGCCTAATCCTGTAAGAAAGGCAGGAAGGAAACAGTCTGGTGTTGCTTACAGAAATTGCCTTTCCTTTAACCCTTCTTACATTCTTGGCAGGACTAGATTTCCTGTCTCAGGAACATCTCTGGAGTTTTTCCCCCCTCCTTTGCTGGTACTTTGCTTGTGTGGAGTGACCATTCAAAGTTACAATGGCACTGAAAAAAGTGACTTATGACCATTTTTCACACTTAACGACTGTTGCAGCATCCCCACAGTCATGAGAGGCCAGGTGAGGAGATGCGTGCTTCGATGTGAGTGATATTGAGTTGGCCACACCCAGCCAATAACATGACCACCAAGCCATGTCCACCCAGTCACATGGCCACCAAGCCACGCCTACCACCTAAGCCACGCCCACAGAACCGGTTGTTAAAAATTTGAATCCCACCCCTGCCTAGTTGCCAAAGAATTTCAGATTGCAACCTGCATATTTGTACTCACAAGCCTACTGGTAATCAATGCAGTACTCATCATTTTCAGGTAAACCTGTGGGTGGGTGTGTTCATTCCTGTGGGCTGAAAAGTTTCTGGTTAAGCAAATTCGATTTACTTCCAATTTATTTCCAAAGACAGTTGGGGGAGGGTAAATGTCTTTTCCAAAACTTTCTTAGCACATTTGGTTCCAATACTGAAGCATGTGGCAATAATAAATAGCATATAGGAATGAATCTTCAAAGCAAAGTTGAAAGTCCGAGTTTTCACTTTTCCCTGTCCGTGTGTTTCAGGTTTGTATTTTTTATATCAAATTCTGGTTTTATTGCCCCTGAGTTAGTAAAAGAGGGAGTGGAGGAAACTTGATAATGAAGGACATGAAACAAAAATAGAGGTACAGCTTCTTAGCATTTCAAAAATGGTATGAATAATGCATTACAGAAGAGATATATTACCCGACTTTGAACTGGTGAGGACATGGTGGCTTCAAGTACATGAAGATACCAGATTTGAAAGCAGGGGAGGAGATGGTGACTTGTACCATAACACAAACTTTGTCCTATTATGAATGTGTGACTTCAGAGAGTGTTTTTTTGAGTTTGTCCAAAACTTTCATAAGGGCAGGATTCTCTCCTAGATTGTACTAGTAGCACCACTGTAAATAGGGCTTAATAGAAAGATAGGAAGCTGCAGACCACAGAAGCTTGTACAGATTGTACAGTGAAAGATGCAACATTCCAACCTATATATGTGCAAGAATACCATGCTCAAACCATGGGAATTTTATTTACATTATTTTTTCTTGAAAAATAATTAGATTCAGGATCATCTCTATTTCCAGAAGGATCTTAAATTCTGCCTAAGCAATAGATATGCTTACAAAATAAAAAACGAAGAGGTGGCAACTCAATGCTTGTATAGATGTACCTCCTTCCAGCCTCCAAAATGTTAAAAGTAAGATCAGAGTTGTTTTGGTGGGACAGAGACTAGATAGAATAGTAATTTGCTTCTGCTAAGATGATGTTTCATTATTATCTATACTTATGACAATCCCAGCTCACAACCTGATAACAAAATGCCACACATATTCATTGACTTCCCCAAGACTTTGGCAGACTTACCATAATGGATTAGTTTCTCACAGTTCCTATCATGCATGGCCTTGTCTAAAGGAAGATATGAAAGAGAATTACACTTGGAATGACAATCCTGTTCTTAAACTGATGTTTTCTTAGACAGAAAAAGAATAAATCTGGGAGAATTTTCAAAAAGCTTACTAGTTTCTTTCTTTAGTTTATCAAGGCAGTGAAGCATTTTGGAGAAGATTCTGGCAAAACCCAACCAGATGAGTTCTTTGGCATCTTTGACCAGTTCCTTCAAGCTGTAAATGAGGCTAAACAAGAGAATGAAAACATGAGAAAGAGGAAGGAAGAAGAAGAGCGACGGGCACGCATGGAAGCTCAGGTACTACAAAAGGCACTTCTACATCCAATTGCATAGTCATTGGTATCTTCCAAAAGTGTTGAACTTCAACTCTCATTGCCAGCAGAAGATGCATTGCATGGCGTTCAGAGAGTATCACATTACAGAAAACATCTGTAATAACACAGCAAGAATAGCAAGGATAGTTGATCTGTTGTCCTCTAGAGCAGGGGTGTCAAACTCAAGGCCTGTAGGCCAGATCCAGCCTGCTTAGATCTGGTGGGTGCTTAGATCTGGCCCACGGGGGCACCCTGAAAACAACAAAAGACTTGCCCGCAGTGCCTGCCAGTGAAAAAGAGCTCCCAATCTCTGTTTTTGGCTGGGATGGCCTCCTGCAACACTGCCAGTGAAAACGGAGTTTGGGTGGGCCGCATGTGCCCCTGACATGAGTGATGTTGAGTTGGCCACGCCCACCATGGTCCCCTGAGGTCAAACACAACCCTGATGCGGCCATCAATGAAATTGAGTTTGACACCCCTGCTCTAGAGCATATTTTAATTTATTTCCTATATGAACATAAGAACCTCCCTCCTGTAGAGTCTTGAGCATTATAGACATCAGTCTGCTCTGACTAGCAGGAGCTCACAAAGCTTTCAGTCCAAAATGATCTTTGCCACTTTTGGTTGGGAGTCATGAGGGCTTTGCTTAGGCCCATTTGCATGCAGTGTATGTGGGATCTTCCAGTGAGTTTAGCTTCTGCTAGTGTGGGCTCTTGGTCTGTAAATCTGTAACCAAGTACCTTCCCTCCAACATCACCATTCTGCCCAAACACTTGTTTTCAGTCACAATTCAACATACGAAGCATTCTGAGCTTTTTTTCTCAGCAGGCCCAGAGAGTGATCAGTCATCCTGGGCTTGAAGAGCTCTCTGAGAACACATTTATATTTCCAGATAGAACTGTGAGTCCCCTGGAACAGGCAGCCTTTCACCAGCTGAATTGTTTTCCACACACACGTGTAAGACCACGTGCTGCCTTTCTCGGGATTTTCAATAGCTGCAAACTGGAAATTAAGACACTTTTTTTTTCTCTCTTCCAGCTCAAGGAGCAGCGAGAAAGGGAGCGCAAGGCTAGGAAGGCAAAAGAAAGCAGTGAAGAAGGTGGGGAGTTTGATGACCTGGTCTCCGCTTTAAGGTCCGGAGAAGTCTTTGACAAAGACCTTTCTAAATTGAAGCGCAATCGCAAACGCATCACGAATCAGCTGGCAGACGGGAGTCGTGAGAGACCCATCACAAAACTCAACTTTTGAACATTGTCTTTTTAAAGAGTGTTAGGGGGTGGGTGGGGAAAACCTGACCAATAATCTGGTTTAAAACCTGGTCTTTTTTCCTTTTTCTTTGCCTTCTGCCTTGGTGGTCACTCAGTGGCATATTTCCTCCCCCACCCTGCATGTCTGCGTGAGCGGGTGGTTAAAGGAAGCATGCGTGTGTGGGTGTGTATATGTGCTGTATATACAAATCTCTTTGGGTGGATGGAGACCAAAAGGGTGTGTGTATGCGTGGACACACTTGTAAGCACGCCCGGTGGCTAACTGCTTGAATGAATGCTCCCCTTTCTACCGATTATAGTGGCATTCCACAAGCAGCTTCTCCATTTCAAAAGCACAAACGTTGGAGAGGGAGGCCGATAAGAGGCAGAAGCACCCAGGGAGGGAAATGAGGGAGGCTGAAGAGTAGCATTCAGCTTGGCTTATTGGGGTCCTTGAGGCCGATCTTGAGGAGAAACTAGGAAGAGAGTTGTGCAGGATGACCTGAGATCATCATGACCAGGATGGACCCACCTTGACTGACTCATCACTGCTGGGAATACAGTGGCAAAAAGCCCATTAGAAACTTGTCTTGTTCAGCCTGAACTGTATTGCTCGGGAGAAAACAGTTCTTATCTTCTGTGTCTGTTATTACCTAAAACTTGAACATCCCTTGTAATTCTTGTGCTGGCTCCCTTTATTCCCTAATCTCTCTTTTTTTCATTCTTTCCCAGCACTTTTGGACTCCTTGGGGAGCTTTTCATTACTGTAATAATGCATCTATAGAATTGATTTGTTTCTTTATTGAAGACCAATGGGGTGTGGGGAGGGGGGGGGTATGCTCTCTCTCTCTCTCTTTTTGAAAAAAAAAAAAGAATCTATGTGTTCGTTCTGTTTTGTTTTGATTCCCTGTCCAAATAAGACAAACTATATTCTCTGTAAACGTAGGTCAGAAGTTACTCTGGGCCAGTTCCGTTTTGTAACAGTGGTCTAATCAGCAGTAATTCCAGAAGAGCCTTGAGGGGGGGGTTGGGGCATACCTGCAGATATTGGGCACTATGTGTAATCCTCCATACATGCCCACTAAAGTCTTCAGAGCTAAATTTGTGGTCAAGCAGTACCAGGAGCAGGCCAAGTGAATGTAGTGCCTGGGATTTTTTAGAGTTTAGCTGAGAACTGCTGCCATAAAAACAAAAGTGGATTTTACTAAGTAAGCAGTGAGTTTATAGTCCTCTCCTGGTTATCCTATAGCCTTGGGTTGATTGGCAGCACACAGAGGCCTCTGTTTGTAGAACAAGCATAGATAAAACTTATTTCAAAGTTTGCCCTTTGTCCCAAAGGAAACGGCTTTGGTCAAAGGCTTTGATGAAGTCCAGAGCTGAGGAGAGAGATTTAAGGACCAAATGTATCATGCAGAGCAGCGGGAAGCCCCCTCTCCCCCCCCCAAAAAAAAATATTGCTATTCATGTTTTTTCTTGCAGAAGTGTTAAGCAGAGCTACCTATAAAAATGGAGATCCAAAATCTTTAAAAAAAACACACAAAAAAACAAAAACAAAAAAACACCAGATTGCTCAGGGAGTAATTAATAATTTAAAAACAATAGTATACAAAGAAATTGGAAACAAGTTTTTAAAATGCCAATTTTTTATAGTGTGGCTTAATCTTATAGAGAATATTGAAGACTGTTACTTTTTGCTCTCTTTTTTTCCTCTTTTATTTATTTGTGGGATTTTTCTTCCGTGGCTTTTTTTTTTTTTTTAACCATCCTCATATTGTTATCTGAAATTGAACAGGGATTTGTTTATTTTATTTTAATTTTTTTTGTCCTTGCACTAGATAGTTAATGCTGTTTGAAACTTTTGGGGGTCGGGGTGGGGAGGGACTAGTAAAAGTTGCTAACTGGTTGGGGAATTGGAATAGCACTTTTCCTCATGTGAATTGTAAAAGAAATGTGTGGTTTTGTATAAAAAAAAAAACTAGTTTGTACAAAATACAGTTCTTGTTGCCGGGATCCCCAGATCCTTTTGCAGTCTGAAAGCTGTGAAGATCACACCACAGAGAGCTGTTAGAGAGATCTGTTTGTGTGTGTGTGTGTGTGTATGTAGGCACGTGCATGTATTTTTCTCTTCTTCTTCTTTTTGAGATGTCATTTTTCTTAACTGCAGCCTTTTTCAATCAAATGTACACCTGGATGGCTCGTCAGATACCTTGCAAAACAGTAAGAGTGAGAATGTTGATTATCTGAGTCCTCGCAGAGAGCAAAAGCTTTGCTCCCAGAGAAAGCATCCAAGTTGGTCATAACTGTTACTTAAACTCAAGTGCCTCTCTTTTATATGTATATATTGTATTTATAGATGGAAGAAAATTGGGTTAGATTACGATTTTAGGGCATTGCTGATGAAAAAGAGCTCAGATAGATCAGAGGGTGCATTAAAATGAAATGTGAATAAAGACAAAGCCAGCATATTTTGAATATAAAAAGAGCAGAAAAGTGCTGTAACATTCAGTCTCCTCTGCAAGACAAGCCCTGCAATCCAATAGGCATTTAAGAATTCAGCATCCTTTCTATGACCATAGAAAGAGCCTTGCTGAAAAGTGAGTACCTTTATTTCCAGCCCCCACTTCCACTCACCCACCCACCCCAGGACCGATTCACATTCCCATCAAGAAGCAATTTACCTGGAGTAGACATAGTGCGATGTCTCTGGTGATCCAGGGCATCCTGCAGATTACACATTGTGCAGACTAACACTGCTGAGGCAGTGCTTGGATTTTCCAGTGGAGCTATCCAGAAATACACTACAAACTGGAAAATTATTTAGATAATTCTTTTTGTCATGTTTTCAGCAGGGATGTTTGTGTGCGTATGTTGGATAGGCACACATTCGTTTTGGGAGGATCCCTATCAGCTTACCTTGTTTAATCACCCTACTGCAAATCAGATGAGATTAGTCAGAAGGTGAAATTCAGTACAAATTAAAGTGGAAGCCCTTAGAAAGTTCCCAGCCTTGGCAACTTTTAAGATATGTGGACTTCAACTCCCACAGCTGCCTGACCAATTCTGGGAGTTTGAAGCCCACAAATCTTAAAAGTTACCAAGATAGGGAAAAACTTCTTTAAAGAAACAACAATTTCGGTTCTGGCTTGAAAACCTTATAATACTCAATGCTGATCTGTTCAAAAGAAACACAATGTTTTATTTGGATCCAGAATAAATCTGGGTGCATTAGTCAAGCACATCACTTCTACGAATGTTGCCCCTACCCACTACATACCACCCCCAAAAAAATTATTTGGCATTTAGTACATCAAGTATCAAATTGAGACAGCTGACTGATTTGTGTTGTGCTGTCAGCAATGTTAATATACCTTCAAGGGGAAGCTGTTTCTGTTTTGTAGGATGGATTAATGGATCTCCCTGGATTTCTTGCAATCTCTACTACATGGATTACAAAGCAAAGGAAGCAAGGGTCCAGTGGAAACCATTCCTTGTGCTTCCAAACCAAACTTGATCTGCAAAAGCCTTATTTGGGAGGCTGCATTTGCAATTCTTTGTGCTTGTGTGGGAGAGTTTTTTTTGTTCTTGTTTGTTTTCTTAAATAAATGTACAGGTTAATCCCATGTGCCATTTGTTGTAAATTACATTTTTTGACTGGTGCTGGTGGAAGTAGCCACTCTATTTTCATTATAATTTTCCTCTTTGCATTGCTCCTGGGTGTGTAATTAAAAAAAAAAATCATGCCAAAAAAGAGAGAGGAAAAAAAGTGATAGTTTGTAAACTGAAATATACTAAGTAGATTAGGAGTAGCAAACCATGTAGTGGATCTTAGATACACGGGTGTTTTTAGCTAGCAGGATGTGTATGTTACAAGACTGTACATTTTTTAAAGAAAAACAACAATATGCAATAAAGAGTATACATAAAATTAAGGATATTCAGTATCATTTATACTTGAGTAAATTTTAAAATAAACTGATGGATTTATGTATGACCTTTAACATGCAAACAACACACTTTTTAAATAAAGATTTGATAACTACATCTTTCCCAGTTATACAGTTGACCCATTATCCCAATAAATATGTTTCTGGAAATAGCATTTGCACTTGAGAAAAACACAATATTTCTGTTATAGAAAAATGGTTCTTCAAACCATACATACCTCTCTGCCCCAAGTCTTGAATGCCCTTATTGCACAGATCCAGTGTTGCATTATCGTAGAATCAGAAATTTTAAAAATATTTCAATTTCTCTTAATATATACTTTAGTTCTGGCACTGAAATACTATTTAAATATAATTCATATATCTCTTTTATCTTGGAATGTGTTAGTGTGCAGGTTTTTATGCATTTGTTTCTCCTTGGTTGAGAGAAGGACCAGGGGAGACATGATAGCAGTGTTCCAATACTTGCCACAGAGAGGAAGGGGTCAAACTATTTTCTAAAGCGCCTGCAGGCCAGACAAGGAATAATGGATGGAAACTGAACAAGAAGAGATTTAACCTGGAAACAAGGAGAAACTTTCTGACAGTGAGAACAATCAACCAATGGAACAGAAGTTGCCCTCGGAAGTTGTGGGAGCTTCATCACTTGAGACTTTCAAGAAGAGATTGGACTGCCATTTGTCAGAAATGGTGTAGGGTCTCCTGCTTGGGCGGGGGGTTGGACTAGATGTCCTACAAGGTCCCTTCCAACTCTGATTATCTGTTATCTGTAATATTTCATTATGTGTTTAACAAACTTTATCTTGAATATTGTATCAAGTTCTCAGTACCCCATTTGAACATCTAGACAAATTGGAACAGGTTCAGAAATGAGCAGTGAGGAAGACCACAGGACTACAAATTAAGTCCTATGAAGACAAATTGATGAATTTTGGACAGCTAAGCTTTGAGGAGAATGAGCTGGGAAACACAATAGTATTCTTCAAATACTTGAACAGGTGACACACAGCAGAAGATCAACCCTCGTTCTCCATTATTTCAGAGTGCATGATATGGAGTTATGGATTCAAATTTCAAGACAAGTTCCAGTTACAAAAGAGTTCCTGGGAGTAAAAACAATTTGATAGCAGAACCACATGAGCAGAATAGAAGTAGGCTGTTCTTCACGGCCAGAAATTGGACAACTATCTGCCAGGGATGCTTTAATTTGAAATCTTTCACCAAACAGATGGCTTGCCTTGACCTAAATGGCAACACCCAAACTAGGATCCTAGTTCTGATGAAATCGTGTTTTGCACACCTTTACTGTTAAAAAATAAAAAATTAAAGGTATCTGAAGAGCCATGGAAATGTACCTAGGTTGGAGAAATAAGAAATATCTCTGCTTAGCAGTTATTTTTCCAGACCTTCTCCTTTTTTGTAGACACTCCAAAGAAAGTCTCCAAAGAAAAAGAGAAGATTTGCAAAAATAACTGCTGAGATATTTCTCATTTCTCTAACCTCGGTTTAAGAGTACATTTCTGTGGGTTGGTAAACTAAATGCAACTCTGGAAACATGTTTGCTACATCAAATTTGTGTCCGAGCATTATATCATGCCATAAGTATATATTATGATACATTTTCACTGCATCCCATTTTGGAAACTGTCCAAATATATGAAAGATCTTGAATAAACTCCAATGAATTATCCAGGACTTCTTTTAGAGGAAACATACAGTTTAAGCCAAAGTAGCAACAAATTTTAAATCTCCAGATTTTCTTTTTACATTGATTTTAAATGTAGCTAGCTAACTAGAGATTGGTAGAAGAAGATGATGCTAGGTGGATATAAATAGATGATTGTATTCTCTTTAAAAGCTCTGGCCAGCTTAGGCATAGTTCCCAACGGCCTCCTTTTCAATATTGATCGGGAAACCTCAAAGACAAAACAGTTAACAATAAGAATATCTAATTCGTTATTATCTATAGCAGTATAGAAAGGCAATTAGACATAAGAGGGTCTCTGAGAAAATGCTGTTATTTCTATTTTTAGCCTTTCTGGTAGCAGTAGTCGAAAACACTGCAAGAAAAACTTTAAAAAATTATGTGAGAACTGAAGTGAATGATGTACTGATAGGGATAGTCTGGTTTGTTTAGTCCAAGGCTGAAAATGACAGTGCTCAGCATTTTTGTAAGAACTAAGGTGATGAGGTACGAGAGCACTGTAATTTCCCCCCTCAACAAATGTTTCATGACATGCCAAGCAGCAGTGAAGAAGAATGTGCGATCATCATATGATGATGGTTGAGTCAGCTATATTGAAAAGTTCTACCAATCCAGAACAAGCCCACTGTTGTGACTTTGGGAATGTATAGGGGAAAGAAGATTTTTCTAAGATTCCAGATTTAACACACAGTCCTGGCTCCTTAAAAGGCATAAAATAAATGCTTGGAAATTATCTGGGTGACTTTGCTTGGGTGGCTTGAGCTGTGGACAAACAGAGAGATTATTCTAGATGGATTTATTTATAAAGAAATCCTCTTTCCCTGATGTGATTATATAGCAATTCAACAACCACCATGCACTAGGAAGCTTTGCAGAAGTCAAGAGCTGCTTTGGTTTGCAAATCATTGACAGAGCGGTTGGAATACCAATAAAAACAGCAGTCCTGGAAACATGGGTTGCATTGCTTTTTTTTTTTTTTTTTTGTTACTCAGTCGTTAAGTTGTGTCTGATTCTTTGTGGTCCCATGGACCATAGCATGCCAGGTCCCCTGCCTTCCACTGTCTCCTGGAGTTTGCACAAATCATGTTCATTGCATCAATGGCATTATTTACCTGTCCCCTTTTTCCTTTAATCTTTCCCAGAATCACTCTTTCCCAATGAGCCCTTTCTTTTTAATTAGGTGGCCAAAGTATTTGATTCTGCTTCAGTATCTGTCTTTCCAAAGAACAGTTGGGATTGGTTTCCTTTAGGATTGCTATTGCTACTTATTTATTTTTGTTTTTAATTCATCTGGAAGTACCTGGGGACCTGCAAATGGCTACACCATGCACAAATGTTTGTCTACTTGCTTGGTTATTTTAACATTTCACTTGAGACTGATTTTCCATCCACATGTTTTTTAAAAGTCTGAAAGTATCATATGTATGATTCTAGAAGACCAGCTGAGGAGATCTTACAAAAGTGGGAGTACAAGCTGAGCACAACTGCAACTTGGGAGCAAAACAGGAGAACAAGCTTGCATATCACGGGAACTATTTCAGTGTACTCCATCTGCCACAAGTTGTGGCATCTGCATATTAGCTGCAGACTGATGGGGTGCCAGACTGCATTACAAAGCTAATCTATTTTAGATTTCTTTTTGGCTATTCCTGGCTATGCACAACACTGCTTTCTGCAGTCTAGCCTTTCCACCCTGATTTCCTTGACTTTTGGATGTATTCCTGCAGTGTTTTTTAATTGCTAGCCTAGAGCAAGCAGGTGTCTGGCTAACTAAGGCATCTTCATTTGCCTTTTGGGTGTTTCAAAGGCCTTGCAAAAAAAAATGTTCAGTCAACTCAAATGAGTTACTTGGGAACACCACGCCTTTTGGAATGAAAGCTGAGTGGCATCCCCGTGTGTGGTTCTCGAAGCAGTTCTGGCTCTTCTGCAAAGAAGAGGTGTATCTCATTGGGTGGGACCGCTCTTCTAGAAAAGCTCCTTTGGAGCAAGTAGATCAGATATCAGATCTTAATTAAAAGAGAAGAGAAAATAGAAGGAACACCCATTGCTGCCAAACAACAGTAGCATTATTTGCCCAGCCCTGTAGTGGGGGAGGTGAAAGAGAGCATGCCAAAGATTTCCCGGAAAAGATCTGGTAGAACAAGGCATAGTGAACCTTTATATTTTGATGTCAATCAATGAAATTATCATGTGTTCTCTTTGGCGCTCAAAGCTGCAAAAGGAGCTGGAGGGGATTTGAGAGAGGAGGGCTTATATATACCTGCTCTCATGCCCGTACTCATATACCCATTGATGGGCACACATAGCATGTTTTCCTACACTTTGTCTCTCTTTCATAAAGACTTATGACCACAACTGAGTCCAACATTCCCATTGTTAAGCAAGACAGTTGTTAAGTAATTTTGCCCTATTTTACGACCTACTTTGCCACTGTTGTTAAGTTAGTAACACAATTGTTAAATGAATCTGGCTTCCCAGTTGACTTTGCTTGTCAGAAAGTTGCAAAAGGTGATCATATGACCCCCAGGACACTGCAACCATCATAAATAAATGTCAGTCGTCACACATTTAAATTTTGATCACAAGATCACGAGGATGCTTCAGCAGTCATAAGTCACTTTTTCAGTGCCGTAACTTTTAATGGTCACTAAACAAATGGCTGTAAGTCAAGGACTACCTATAATCAATTACATATTTCCTGTTAGCAGTGGGAATGCAGCAGTATGACTTTGTCCCCATCGTCGAAGAGATCTGGATCAAGACACTGGGTGGGATCCAATTGTTTAACTTCCTGCCACTAATGAGAGCAGGAACCTAACTAGCATAATAGTCTGTGAGAGCCACACACATTTTGTGGCTGAAACTACAGATAATCTATCTACAACATAAGCATTTGGACTTATTGCTAAGAAAACAAAATCCTTGCTTCCTAGAGTCTGTTTCTGAATTGGGAGACTTTACGAATCTAATCAATCAACCGATAGATTTTCAATAAACTTTTACAATAAGCCATATGACTTAATGTAGCTTTTTTTTTTTTCTTAGTATGAGTTCAGATCTATTTAGATGATAGAAATGGCCTCTATGCAAATGTCTGGTTGTGTTCCCAAAACACTTGGATCAAAATGAAAATTTATTCATCATTCTGAACCGTACTGTTATTTCAATATCACTGAATGATGAGTTTAATGTCTGGAATCATTTCCCCTGATCTCATATACATACTTATTTTATCAACTGTATTTGTTTACCCCAATCTTATAAGTTTCTTTATTTTCTTATAGCTAATTAGGAGTTCCTTTTCCACAAATGCCCTGTAAGAATTTTGAATCTTTTTAAGATCCTTTTTTGTATG